ACATTCTTATATTTACACATTGTGCAAATTGGTTATCACTTACCTGAAATGCATAGGACAAGAAGTATGTTTTTAATTTCTGAGGGTTTTAAAAAAATATTTGTATAGGCTTTACTGGTTGAACATTACTAATACAAAAATCTGAACTCCAAAAAGCTCCAAAATCCAAAACATTTTGAGTGTTATATCAGTGCTAAAAAAATTCAGATTTCAGAGCATTTCAGATTTTAGATTTTTGGATTAGATATGCTTAACCAATAAACAGCTATACATCTGTCTATTAGATATTTTGCCACCAAATAAACTTGATGAAAAACACCCTTTTGTAAGAATTCATTTTTAGGAGAAACTTTGCTCTGTTGAGAGCCAACATCATGAGCCTATTTGGGGTAGTAGCTGAGTAGGAAATTAGAGAGTAAAGAAATTTCCCTGTCTTCTCAAGGCAGCTGATTCAGAATAGGAGGTGCCTTCTCACCTAGGGTCAAGGTCTGACCTGGGTGCTAGAGGATCAGTAGGAATTTACTAGGCAGAAATGCAAGACAGGGTCTAGACCATGGTATACTGAGAATACTAAAATGGGCCCCTGCTTAGAGAAATGTTTCAAACTGAATAATATAGAATGAGTCAGATGACCATGGAAGCCAATTATATGGAAATACAGCTAAACTATTTCAATATTGGTATATAAATACCTGTGCTTCTTTATCAACATATTAAACAGGCAAGCCAAACACTAGGTCTCACTACTAGAATAATGCTGAAGTAAAAAGAATATAAGTGACATTTGAAGATATTTACAGCTTTACAATGTGATGGAAAAATTTGTGATTTCCGGTGGCGACAAAGCCACAGGTACTGTTAATGTACTATAGTTTGTTGCCTGCATTCAAGGTGCAAGGACAGTGTACATTTCAGCTGGAGGGTAGAGAAAATAATGATATAAGCCCCCCAGTGCTTATAGAATCCTGACCCTGGGGCCTGCGCAGACCCCAGGCAGCAGGAGAAGTCTAGTCAGAGATAACCACTTGGCAATGGCTCAGCTAGGACGATAGGAAATGCATTCTAGGTGAGCCAGTACAGTGGGAGAAAATGGGGGGAGGGCAGGGTTGTGGGGAGATCAAACCCACTTGGGTCTACTTTATCATAAGATTTTCTTTTTGCTATGACATGGTATTTTTTATACTATATTATAAAAGGAATACGTGCTCATTATTGAAAGTAATGAAAAAAATAAAAGAAGGAAATCACTCAGCATCACAGTGGCCAAGGCAGTCTCTGGGAACATTCCAGGTAATTGCCATTCTCCGCGGGAGGCTGTGGGTGACGAGCTGGTCCCTGAGGCCAGGGCTTGAGTGGCTAAATCTTCACTCTGTTTTTCAGCTTTTCTTTCTTGTTTTTATGTCTGTGAAATGAGGATGACCGTAACAGTACCTATTTCATCACCGTGTTTTTAGAATTAAATAAGTCAATTCCTGTAAAGTGCTTCAAATGGACCATAATTAGCACTCAATAAATGTTGGCTTTAATCGCATCTTCTTCCAATCATTCCTCAGTGCCTCACTGTTTCCTATATTTGCCTAGTTTTAGCCTTCACAAAGATATATGTATAGTTTTATAGCCTGCTTTTTTTATCTTCCTACTATTACATAAATATTTTAATGCTATTATAAACTACTCATAAGCATTTTGGATGCCTAAATAATATTCCATCTGGGCGTATGACCCATGTGCATTTGGTCACATGATCCCTTAGGGTTAGACATTTCATTCATTTCCAGTAGTCCATGGGAGGTGTTGTGCAGTTTTAGTGTGGTTCCATGGCGATTTACTGGCCACATAACTTGGGGTAGAGCCCTAGGCTCTGGAGAGAGGATACCAAGATAAATTAGACAAGCTCTCTGCAGTAGAGGAGCATGCAGATCAGTATTTTAGGATCATAATTTGCCTCCCAGGTTGGAGAAAGGATTGGAGATGGAGAATCCTGGAGAGGGAGTGAGACCCCTTGGTCAAACAGGTGGTGAAGGGAGCTGACCTAACCAATGGAGTGGAGGGGGGCAAGAAGGGGAGGGGTGAGATGGGCAGAATCTTGCCCCTGGCTCAGTAGTGAACGACTATTAGTGAGGAAAGGGGAGGACAGGGTAAGGGTAACCAGGGCTTTAACCTTGAGAACCTCAGGAGAGTGAAGTAGAGTGGCTAAGGGCACAGATTTGGATGCCAGATGGGTCTTCATGGTCAAATCGAGTTCTACCATATATTACTAGTATAAATTTGAACAAGTTACTTAAATTTTCTAAGTCTTGGTTCCCCATAAAGTAGGGGTAAAAATGAACCTTCCTTATAGAAGTATGAATTCAAATTGGATTATGAAAAACAGCAAATAGACTGCAGTGGGAATAGTAAGAAGGATTGTGCACCATGTGAGACGTGGTTCTTAGCACTTGTTTCTATTGACTCATTTTAATCCTCACAACATCCCTATGAGAGAAGTACCTTTAGTGTCTTAGTCTTATAGATGAATAAACAGGCCCAGGGAGGTCTAGTAGCTTCTTGAAATTCTCACAATTAGCAAGGAAGAGTGCTGAGGCTTAAACCTCGGCAGCCCAGCATCCGAGTCCAGCTCTTATTACTGCACCACCCGCACCCATAGTGCCATTGCTCATGCCAGAGGGAACCCCTGTGGCCATACCTGGCAGGCAGGTGGTTGGAACTTAACTTTGTAACCTAACACACAGGTCAGTGTGTAGGGTCCCTTGGGCAGAGATGAGGCAAAAGTGAGATCACCCAGGAGGGTGAGGACTAGGTAAAACCTGAATTTAGCAGGTAGGAGAAGGAAGAAGAGTCAGGAAAGAAAAATATGATCAGGGAATTGGATGAGTGTCAGGACGGCATGGTGTTGTGAAATTTAAAAGAACAATGCAATCAGCAACATCAAAAGCTGTAGGAAGAGAGTTGGATGAGCACCAGTAACAGGTCATGGTGACCTTGGACAGAGCAGATGCAGTGGAGCAAGGTGGTCAAGGAGACTGGAGCTGTAAGGGGCTGAGTGTAGCTGAGTGAAGGAGGGATGCAGGGAGCTATGTAGACAAAAATAATGTGTGAGAGGCTGGAATGAACCTGGTACAGGTCAGGAGGCTTGAACCCAAATGCTGGCTCTGACCTTGAGTAGTTGTGTGGCCTAAGAGAGGCACTTGATATTTCTCGGGTATTATTTGCTTATTAATAAAATCAGGAGGGATGTAATAGGGGTACTGTTGCAGGGCTGTGATGGGGTACAGAATTAAAAGACAATAAACAGTTAAACTTGCTGCTACGGTGGGGTCGCTCCTGTGGAAACAGCTTGCACTTTGCAGACCTTCTCTGGAGGTAAGGCCTGGTCATCATCACCTCTGCCCTGGGGATGATTCTGATGCTTAGCACTGATGAGACCCCTGTGATGCCCTTTGCCCGCAGCCTCTCAATCAGTTGAGATTTAGGATGTGGTGGGTTCCTGCCCATGCCACAAGACCTCACAAATCTGTAGTTCATATGGTAAACTGCAATTCTGGGATTTGAACTCTGGTATTGGCATCTGTCTTGCTACCTGTGCCCTAATGAGGTGATCACTTGGCTGTGCAGGTCGATGATTAAGACTGTCACTTGGGGAAAATATCAGGTCGCAGGTGTGACTTGGCAGTTGCTTCCCAATCCACACATTGCTTACATGCAGTTTCCTGGCCTGGGAAATGGTTCTGCCTGACTCCTAAGGTGAACCCAGGGGAAAGTGTATGGAGTTACACTTTGCATTTTGCAGACATAGATGGCATGGTGTGCAGTTGGGAACCTTGTATATTCTGAACAGCAGCGCCTTGGCTCTAGGTCCACATGCCTGTGCAGAGAATGAGCTCATGTTCTCTCTCCGACTGTTTCTTCCTTTCTCTCCCATCTTTATTTTCAGCCTCTAGCATTTAAAAATCTTAGATTCTTTCCTCCTTTTCTGACCACATGTCCCATCCATTCAGCAAATGTGGACTGGCTCCTATTGTGTAGAAAACATTGTACCCCAAGGAAATAAGAAGCAGCACTTTGGAGATAAATGTGGCTCTCTTCTTTACTGAAAAGGGTTTGAAATCTACTAAAACTAAGCAACAAGCAGACACACTTACAAGTGTTTTAGAATAAAGGTACAAACTGAGGTCCTTGGGAGCGCCACACAGGGCAAATTCCACCTTAGAACCCAGGAGGTCTGAGAAGGTGCATGTCAGGTGATCCTTGACAGGTGAGTGTACAGAGTAGAGGAGGGAAGGGCACCTTCCCAGCTGAGAAGGGGCAAGATCATGGGCACGTGGTTGTCTCTAACACACCCAGAGAATGGATGTTGCAGGCTCTGGGTAAGGCAAACAAGGGCTTTTGTAGCTGCAACCTCTCTCTGCTGCTTATCCTTTACCTTCTGCCTCTCTTTCTTCTCTCTCTCCTGCTTTTGACTTTAATCCTGCCTTCCTCCTCTCTATCTGCATCATGCTCGCCACCTTTGTCCCTGCCTGCCTGGCTTTCTTACTCTCAATTATCTTTATACTTGGAGGCGGTAAGAGATTGAAGGCTGGGCAGCTGCTCTGGGAGCTGCGCCCTCCCTCACCCCTGCAGCAAGCATGTCTGGGCTGCTCCACCCCACTGTACATCAGGCTGAGTAGGAAGCAGCTTCCTCCACTAGCCTCTGTCCTTTGGTGACAGCCCAGACGATTTACGCACCCTATTGGCTGTGGCCGTATGTTGTCATAACCTGGGTCGTTTCCTCATTTAATACTGTCCATAAACTCCAATAAAACTGTCCCAAAGCCCAGTATTCCAGGGGGAGAAGGGCAGACACTGGGTTTGGAGGGGCTGGAAGGGGTGAGGGTGGGGAGGAAGTGAGGCACAGCAGATGAAAAAGAAGTCAAGGTCACAGGGCCCAGGCAGGGCTGCTGGCCTAAGCCCCCACCTTATGCATACCTTGTTTCTTTTCCTGCCCTTGCTGCTGGCTGCAGTGTGTCAGATCCTCCCCAAGGGAGTAGTTGCTGTCCTGGGACCATCATCCAGCCCTGCCTCCAGTTCCATCATCAGTAACATCTGTGGGGAGAAAGAGGTGAGTACTGGGCCAGGTTGGAAGGATACGTATTCCGCAGGTGGAGCCCAAGGACATCGTGGGTTCTTAAGGGCTGGAAGGGCCTGTTGAGGCTGCTGTCTTGGTGTCGCTAATGATATCAATACAAATAAGAAGTGGCCCTTGGCTGAGTTCTGGCTTTGCTTCAGGTTACATGGAGAGAGGGGCCTTGGGAGATGTTGACAACTAGTTTTGTAAGCTGAGCTCATCAGTCTTAGGGTCCATGGTTGTGCCTCCAGGGGCCTCTTGGTGGTGGCAGGGAGGGGGGTTGAGGGGGGACAAGAGGGCAGAGGTCTGAGCCTCAGGTTTCAGTCCGTATAGGCAGCTCTGTGATGATCTGCTCATACATTGGGATTCTGGGTTTGGAGGAAGGTATTGGTACATTTTATGCAAAAGTAAAGTTTGAAAGCCTGTTTTGTAAGTTTGCAAGAAGAGATTTTATTTTGCTTTTTTCTTCATTTGCTGATTCTAGCACGTATTCTTCCAGGTAGGAGGTTATTCCGCAGGTGTGACCTCTGACTGGAGTCTCTCTAATCCCAAAATATGGAGGCCATTTCTTCTATCTAGTTCAATTCAGTGACAAAATACAGGGGCAAGTTTCAGAGCAATAGTCACTGACCTCTCTCCCTGCCTTCTTCCCTGGAAAAGAAGTTGGAACTTGCTAGTCTTTCCTGTAATCCATCAGTCCTTCTTCTGTTGCTGTGTCCCTGGGAGACCGTGGTCAAGTGGCCCCTTGGTCCATCTGTGCCCCAGGAGCATTTTAGTCAGGTCTGTACAGGGCGGAGGAAGCTTGGTGGTTAAAATATGTGAGGTCCAGAGCTCAGGAGGGGCCGGGGAAGAGCATGGGAAAGAAGCATCACCTTGCATCCGCTTAGAGGACTGAAGACTCAGAAGCTCTACTTTTAGGAGGGTCTGGCTCCTGGAAATAGAGGAGAAACCCACTGGCAGACAGGCCAACCCATCCTCAGCAAGCTGCCCCTGCAGAGGCAGGGACCTGCAGACTGGCTTCTGCCAACCCCATGTCCTCTTGGAAGCTACCCCTTGATGCCCCAACCCTCTCGTGCAATCACGAGAAGCCTTGGTGAGTCCCTGTGGCTTCAGGCAGAGAATTTATCCTCCCTCTTTCATGAGCCTACTGTCAGAATTGGTATCTGCATATTCTAGTGCTTTGCGGCCCTGACCCGAGGTTGGTTCTGCCCCACTCCATAGGGTGAGTCCTCGGAGCTTTCTTGCCAGGGGCCAGGTCCATTACTGAGTGCAACTCTTAAGCTTTATAGGCTCCCAAGCAGTTTCTGTCCCACCCTAGTCCCTTCCAGCACCTCCCAGGCCTAGGCCCAGGACATGAACCTTTATGCTTAATTTATCCTTCTTTGTCAGGCCCCAAGGTCCACCTTATGTCTGTGGTATGCCATTACTGCAGCAGTGGCTCTGATCTTCACCAAGTCGCCAAGACTTTAGCTCCCCATTTTTTCTCCTCTGTCCCTCCCCCACTGCATTGTCTTATTGATCCCTTATTGTTTTCCCTATCAAACCCACTCTAAAATGGCCCCCTCTTGGGATTCAGTAGCTGTTTCATCTCAGCCAGATCTCTCACCCCTGCCTGTTTGGCATTTCAGGACACGGACTGAGCCCCCAGTTTGCAGTGTCACCCCATTCTGCTATGCTTGCCCCTGTACCCTAGACCAGCCAGCCAGCCCACCCAGGAAGCAGGCAGATGGTTGCCCCTCCCTTATCTAGTCATGTTCCTTCCAGAGCAACTCTTCCTCTCGTTCAAATTATGCATTTCTGTTAATATTTTATGAGGTTGAACTGCCTTACACTGATCCCCCAGCTCCAGGGAAGAGCAATGGAGTTCTCACCAAGGAGTCCATCCTTTAAATGCTCGTAATGTCTCTCTGCAGCCCTTGTGGCTGGCTGCTTTCTGCCTCACCACTCCCCCTACACACCTCCATGATGACATCCTGGGATGCATTTAAAATTGCAAATCGATTATGGATTAATCTTTGTCCAAAAGGGAGGATGGGCAGAAGGGGACTGACCTATCCCTGCCTGGGCTGGCAAAACAGCTAACTTCCTCCCTAACAGCTTTCCCAACGGCCCAGTGCTGGAGACTCTCCACTAGCATCCCTTTCAGGGAGCCCCTCCACCCTCCCTTGCATATCCAGCTCCCAGAACTTTATAGGAACTCTTGTTTTGGGGGAGAAAGTGGAAGGAAAGGAGGAAAGGCATTGCCAAGCACTTAGTACACGTTAGGTTCCAGGCTAGTATATCCTTCACACATGGGATCTCATTGTATCTGCCCAAAGCTCTAAGAAGCATCAGTGGTTTTCTTCACCCTAGTGAAGTATAGACAGGCTAGGTGGTTTACCCTGAAAGTAAATCCCAAGCCTGTAGACTTCAAAAGCTACATGTCCTTTGCTTTCCTAAAGGTCACGTCCTCCAACTCCTGGCTGGTTCTTAGGAATCTTCAAGGGCTCCCACTTTTGGGGTACTAATGGGCAGGGTTCTCTGAGATTAGCTGCTGATGGCATCCAGAAAGGGAGAACCATGGTCAGAGGTGCTCAGATGTCTAAATCAGTTCGCACCTGCCTCTGCCTAGCCTCACCCTCTATCTTGCCCTTTCATAGCCTCATTTTAGATGGAATGTATGGGATGCGGATGCAAGCAAAAAGAAATATCCCTGATCAACTTCACTCTTTAGAGTCATTATTCAAAACATGCCAGGTTCTCCTCAATTCTGCACTTTATAGTTCCTGCTGAAAAAAGTATGGTTGCACTCTCTCTGTGGTTCAAGGGTTAATCCTAGTTGAATTCAATAATTTTCTTCCTGGTTTTTGCTAAATCTTTACTGTCTTCCAATCTTGACTTTAAAAGAGCTCTGGTCTCTGACTGGCTTCACCCCAAAATTTAAAAGGATAAATAACTAGAATCCTACAGAAACTATCACAGCATCTTCCCAGGCTCCTGGCAGCATAACGTCTAGGCCAGGCCAGACAAAGAAAACTTCTGTAATCATTTCTGAATAATCTATTCTAGAAGCCAAGTAACTCACCACCAGGAGGTTCTTCTTGCCATCTACCTTCAATCTTACGTAGTTTAACATCAGTAAAAAATCAGGCTCAGGCTTAGCTTTTTCCTGGCTGAGTGCTTGGCTGGTATTTTGAGAGTGGCAGAATAAAATCAAGGTGGATAGCAGCTTATTACATTTTAACTTTCCTATTACCTACCAAATAGCCTAAGCCACCAATAAAGCAGCCCTGGCAGCCTGTTAATGTCTCTTCCCCAGAGAAGAGAGGCAGAAGGCAGAGTAGCACCTCTTGGAAACGTCAGTAAATAGAGGCCGAGGGAAGCTGACATTGCCATAATGCAGCTGGAGCAGGTGTTTATTTACCTGGCTCCATCAGCAGTGCTCTAGATGGCTTCTCCTGCTGCATTGCTTCCCTCCCCACAGGCAGGTCTGCGATGGTTCCCCCACACACACATCCACTGGCATGCCACACTCCTGGCATTCACCCAGGAGCTTTGCTGGGAGCTGGTTTACACACCTGTTGCCTTTGTTGGGCTAAGGGGCTCCCCTTTTGGTCCCCAGGGTAGTGTTTTCCTCTTCCTGCCATCTCTACCTGATTTATGAACTACAAGTAGAACAGTATAAGGAGAATGCCTTTAAGGGCCATTCGTCTCTTTGCCTAGCACCAGCCACTTCCTCTGAGAATAAACACCTATTTTTTTTGCCTTTTCAGCGCTACAGACCTGGCGCTGAGATCCACATTACATTCACACTGGTCTCTGGCCAAAAAGGCGTCCCATCCTGGCTCTTGTCACAGACATCGCTATGTCTTCCTTCCACGGACCAGGTGCTGTCGGTCCTGCACCCTCCACAGCCTGGGTCCCCCACTGTGCTCCTTTTACTTCTCACTCATTTGGATCCTCTTATTGCCCATTTTTGTTCCTTCTGCTAGGTGCCTCATTTCAAAGTGGCCCCAGAGGAGTTTGTCAAGTTCCAGTTCCAGAGATTCACAACCTTGAACCTGCACCCCAGCAACACAGACATCAGCGTGGCTGTGGCTGGAATCCTGAACTTCTTCAACTGCACCACCGCCTGCCTCATCTGTGCCAAAGCAGAATGTAAGTCTCCCCAAGCCACTCCACCCCAGACAGGATGGCTTTGCTGATTTCCACTGGCTCCCTGTGCCCCTGACTGGAGCCACACCAGGAGGATGAGGTCTCCCTTAGATCATGGAGCTGGTGACCAGCAGGTTCAAGCATTGCCATGTGTCCTTGGGTGTTTGTCCGTGTGTGTGTGTGCATGTGTGTTTGTGTGTGAGTGTGTGTGTGTTTGTGTGTGAGTGTTTGTGTTTGTGGGGTGTGTGTGTGTGTGTGTGTGTGAGTGTATATGTTTGTGTTTGGTGTGTGTGTGTGTGTGTGTGTAAGAGTGAAGGATAGAAAATGCATGGCCCAGCAGCACCCTTTACTAGGACTCCCTGGGTGCCAGCAGAACAGAAAGGAAGTAGGTTACAAGGAAACTGGCCAACTGCCAAAAACATTTTGCATCTGTAAACTCAATTCTCGTGTTTCCAGCCTCATTGTTAGAGAGAGGAGAGAGACAGAGAGAGAGAGAGAGAGACAGAGAGAGAGAATCAAATTGAATGCATTTGTACTTGATAGGTTAAAGAGCTTCTTCCCCTGGAGAGCAGGTTTTGCTGATGGAACAAGGTTCAAGGTCAACTCTTGATAAAGCATTTTTTGCAAATACATGGTTTAGAAACGCATTTTCTCTTACTCTCAATTTGTGACATGAGTTTTGTGTTTATGAGATTTAGCTAATTTCAGCCAGCACCTTCCAGCAAGCCCGTGCGTCTGTGTGCTCCCTGTGGCAGCCGCACAGCCACACACAGTCAGCAACTGCTGGCCGCTGCCTGGCACACACAGGGGACCAGAGCCTGAACCTGGCCTCTGTGCTTACACAGGTCTTAACCTGCAGGTCTTCCTGGGCTGCACTGGCAGTGTCTTCCGTCTGGGCTCTCTTCTGTAACTTCTCAGAACCATCTGTATTTTTACGTACTCCCTCCATCCAGAGATCCCAACAGCATTCAAGGCAAACGTCCTCCTCCCTGTTGTGGGTCGAGCCATCTGCATTACCAGGCCTTTGCACCTGCTTGCATACTTGCACCCATTCGTTCCTTCAACACAGTTTTGCTGAATATTTACTCTGTGCTACCCAAGTAGCAAAGTAACAGAATCTCAATTCCATATGGTTTATATTTACCTTACTTAATTTTTTGCAACCATTCAGTGTTTTTGGAGGTTCGGGAATTCCTTGACTGATAGCTGAGGAAGCTGAGACTCAGAGGTAAAGTGACTTTCCCAAGGTCACACAATTTCAGCAGCAGGGCCCGAATCAGATACAGACCTTCTCACTACAAGCCCAGCACTCATTCCAGAACCCTATAGTGGCTACAGAGATGTTTTGCCATCAATATGAGGTAGTGGTGAATAGTCTGTGCCAGCTGTCAAATGTGCACGGTGGAAACTCAAGAAAGAGAGGTACCTGAGCGCAGGGATGCCAGGAAAGGCTTTGGGACCAGGACAGGGCTTCAGGGGGTTTTGAAGGATGAAAAAGATTCAGATAAATAGAGAAGAGAGAGCATGTAAGTGAGGAAAGCAGGAAGCCTCATGCCTCGCCTAGGAAGGAGGTGGCTAAAGCGTAGAGTAGGTATTAAAGTTGGAAAGAGGCTGGGGAAGGGAGCAGAGAACCTTGAGTAGCAGGTGAGGCAGCGTGGACTTCAGCCAGTATCAACATAGGGAGTTGAAGGTCTTTCCCCTGAGTAATGTCCTCAGAGGAAAGGCCAATCTAATCATGGGTGTGCCTTGGGGAAAGACTGCTTTGGGATCCATTAAAAAGGATTGGCAAACTGGAACTAGATCCAAGGACCTAGGGGCTCAGAGAACTTGGAGAAAGAAAGTTGGCTACAACCCTTTTTCAATACCCAGGTCTTAAAAGAGGCCAGAAAGTTGGGCATGAGTAAAAACATGCCAACCCCTCCCTTAGTCCATCAGTGGGCATTTATTAGGCATCTCTTATGTGTTGGGTACCATGTTATTCTCTATGAGACAGCAGAGAAGAATAACATAGTCTTGTCCACACCTATAATTCCAGATACTCAGAAGACTGAGACAGGAAGAGTGTCAGTTTGAGGCCGGCCTGGGCAATTTAGTGACCTTTGAGACCCTGTCTCAAACTATAAATTTTTTAAAAGAGCTTGGGATGTAACTCAGTAGTAGAGCACTTGCTTGGCATATGGGAGGCCCTGATCCTCATTAGAAAGAAAGAAAAGAAAGAAAAGAAAGAAAAGAAAGAAAAGAAAGAAAAGAAAGAAAAGAAAGAGAAAGAAAGAAAGAAAGAAAGAAAGAAAGAAAGAAAGAAAGAAAGAAAGAAAGAAAGAAAGAGAAAGAACAGCCTCATTGGAGAATAAGCAGGGCCTATGGACGGCAATGAAGACAGTAAAATGACAATCTGAGCTTACAGGGAGTGTGGTGCACTGCAGTGTCAGGCAGCAGTTGCAGGGAGGGGCTTTGGCAGGAGCTCAGCAAACAGAGTCTAACCCCTTCATTTACAAATGAGGAAACTGAGGCCAAGAGAATAGTGTGACATGCCTAGGGTCCCATAACTAATATGGTAGAGGCGGAAGTTGAACCCAGATTACCTGGATCACAACCCAATATACCGTCACCATTACGCAAGTGTTTCTCAAACTGGATTCCTCTAGATCTATATTGACCAGTGCAGAAGCCCCAAGCCACTTACAATCATTTAAATTTAAATCTGAATTCATTAAAATGAAATAAAAATTTTAAAATTCAATTCCTCAGTCTCAGTAGCCACACTTCAAGTGCTCGGCAGCCAGTGTGGCTGGTGACCACCATAGCAGCCAGATAGATACACAATATTCCCATCACCGCAGAAAGCGCTATTGGCCTACACTGCCTTGATGATGAGGATGAGTGGTTTATGGACAGAGTTTCCTGTGCACACACACACAAAAAAAACCCACAAAGACAAAGACAAAGCAAAAGCTTGGATAACCCTGCATTCTTTTCCCCCTTGTGGAGAGATAATACACAATAACCTGAACTCCTTGAGATGTCCTCTGGCCAAAATAACTATTTACTTTATCATCTTCCAAATAGGTTTGACCATGAGGCCCAAAAGGTTGCTGAGAAAAGTCCGTAGGATGCTAGGGTTTTACGGAACACAGCTAGGAAATGCTACATTCTTCCCCGAGTGTGGCATCTGATACCCATGAACAGTATAACAGAATCCAGGGTTCTCCACATGAACTTCTTGCCACCAGCCCACACAGGCCTGAACTGGCCCATGCCATGTACCATGAACGAAGCAGGGGTATGAACAGGGGGTGGGAAGTAACGAGTGATGGGTACAAAGGCTGAGCTCTGTTTTCTCTGCTTTAGCCCTTACGGACCTTTGGGAAATTAATCGCTCCATTTGTTAAATGTGTGATATGCACTGAAGACTTTGTTAGATACTGTTGCTTCCCAGCCCAGGACTGCTTCTACTAGAGCTAGGACATTCCCTGATATTCACAACAGCTCCTTGTGGAGGCAAAATACCTTTACTTATGTTTCTCATTTTACCTCCTCCTCCTGAATCATGCAAGTGCTAAGAACACAGTCTCAGGGCAGCTAAGGAACTTCAGCTACTGGGGTCAGACTCTCCCTCAGATCTTCTGACTCTCTAGTTGGGCTTCCTCCTCCTGCAGCACCCCCACCACACATCCATACAGACACCTCAGGTTAGTGACTTGAGGGAGGGTGGGCCCTACCTGGCAGGGACAGCATCCTTCGAAGGGCAGAGGTCTCTCTAGAGCAGTGTGTCTTTGAGGTCCCTGGAGCAGAGGTACAGGCTAGCTGAGCACAGAGAAGGGCCTGGAAGAGAGGAGGATTTCCACGCTACCACCCAGGGGCCTCGGCAGCCACACTGAGCTGCTCTGCTCACAGAGCTGCCTACGACAGTGCTGCGGACTCTAGTCCCACCCGGTGGGGCCAGGAGATGGAAGGTGGGGCACAGCGGGGAACTTCAAGGGCAAAGAAGATTAAAAATCTAATCAAAGGGTGAGGGAATGAGGGACAGAAAGGAAATGTGGCTCAGAGCTCAGGCAGAGACACTCCTCCATCTCCCTTATTAATGCAGGGCTGAGCAGAATTAGGAACAGGAATCTAATTCTATTTTTCAGCCATTGAAATCACCCATAATGGAGATGATTCCATGGGGAATCGTGCTACTTTTTCTCCTTCTAAAAAGTAGATTTTTTTAATAAGCAAGTTTTGGACCACGTAGAGCTATATTGTGGATTATATTATTTTCCTTTCATGAGAAAAAAAAATCAGAGTACCTGCAAGTGTCCATTTCTAACTGGACCGGGAGAGGAGGTGGGGCAAATGGCCCCGGGGTAGCCTTCCTGGTCCTCCCCGTGGGGCCCAAGGAGCTGGCTGTTTGGAGGGCTTCCCATGGTGGCTACTGGGACCCTTAGGTCGGTTCACCCTTCCAGCCATGAACCTACTTGTTATGATCCCCAGAATGGACCCAGAGAGCAGTGTGTCATGCTGTGTGCTTCCCTACCGTCTTTGTTCATGGCTCAAAAAAATTTTTTTAAATATTTGCTTTGGTGTTTTTATGTATTTTAAGTCCTTTTTGTGGCCTTACGTGCCCATGTCTTGTGCCACTTACATCAAGGGAAAGTGACTCTTCTCTCTAGCCTTAGTTGTATAGGCTGTAAAATGGGGATAATGCTCTCGCTCTCCCAGGATGGCTGAGGGGACTGAATAGATGACATCTCTGAGTGGACAACATGGTGTCCACGATAAGAAAAAGATTTGGATCCCTTTCAAATGAGGCCTGCCAGGACCTGGAGCAAGAGTAAACCAAAGGTCTGACCCTGTCCTCCCATGGTTATTCTGTTCACTAAACATGGTCCATGTGTTGGAGAGGAGCAGATTTGGTCAAGAGGCAGTTCCCACCCCAGGGAGGAAGTATTTCCCCAAGAGAAAGAGTCAGGATGGCTTGGTATAAAAAGATCCGATGTCTGGAGCCAAACCAAGCTGCTCCA